TTATCAGATAATCATGATGTAGTCACAAAATGGAATAGTATACAGCAAAGAAAATGAACCACAGACATATGCATCAATGTGAATGCATCCCAAAAGATGTTAACATTGAGCTAAAAAAATAATGAAATGTGTAAAATATCCCATTTTATACATTTCCAAAACAGGGAAGGGAAACTATTTTAGGGATACATAAACATGAGATAAAACAATGAGGAAAAGCATAGGAATTATTAACATAATCCAGAGTAATGGTTACAAAGGACTGATAATTTAAGTTGGGTGGTGAATATGTAAGTGTTCATTTTGTTATTCAAACTGTCTTCTTTCACATTATTCTCTTTGTGTACATTTTATAATAAAACAATTTAAAAGATGGAATGATCAGAAAATAGTGTCATGTCAAAACCCTAAATAAAGTGTATTAAATTTTGTCATGCTATTTTAGATTTTAAAAACATGTTAACCATAACTGAAAAAGAACAGGAGAGATTCCCTCAAAAGTAGCCTGTAAGTTTAAAACATTCAATTTTTAAGTAACAGGAACCTTTGGGCATTACACATTAAATTCCCTCAACTGCCAACTGTCTCCAAATTAAAATGGTTGTGCATTAACTACTGAGCATTCCAAGTTGTTTATTTCATGGGGTTGCCCCCAGTCAACATTTTGGTTCTGGTGGTGATTTACTGCCAGTGCAATTATTTCAAAATTCTATTTCATAACAGAATGCAAAACTAAAATGTTGAAGTGCTATTGATAATGATATGATCTATGTTTCCTAAAACGTAAGCTACTGAAACAAATACAAAAATTGTTTGATGTGCTAAAAGGGGGAATCATGTGCTCACTGAATTTAGTCAACTCTTCGATATGAAAGGAAATTAAAGAACTCTTAATCATAGGAAACAAACAGGGTTGCTGGAGGGGAGGGAGGTGGAGGGTTGGGGTAACTGGGTGATGGACATTAAGGAGGGCAGTGATGTAATAAGCATTGGGTATTATATATAAGACTGATGAATCATAGGCCTGTACCTCTGAAACCAATAATATATGTTAATTGATTTAAATAAAAAGTGTTTAAAAGTTAAAAAAAAAACATATATAAAATTGAGCAAACACATCATTAAAGGATGTACTTAGGAATTTCTGGGAAGGGAATGCCCTGCATATTTAAGTCTTTTGATTGACCTGTACATTGTATCTTCATACATTTTCAGGAATTCATTTGTCACTAGAATTGCAGACTGCCTTATTGAGAGTAAGGTACCCTAAGAATAACGGATCCAATTACTTTCACTACTGATTAACATAGTTTCAAATACTGAAGGAAAAGCCAGGCAAAGCAAAAAACAAAAGAAACAGAAGAAAACAAAAATATTAGTCTAGGGAGGCTTAGGCTTGGCTATAGTGTGGACCATGTATCCCAGAGTTCATTAATAAGTTAAATCGGACATTCCCTCTGATTTCTATTTATCAGGTTTAAAACTCTACCCCTTAAATAAATGCATTATATTGCATTAAAAAAACAGGAAAGGAAAAAAAGGAAAAAATAATCTCAAAACATGTGAATGTCTGCTAACTGCCAAAGCTTGAAATACAAAGACAAATCTGATATATAGCAGAATATATAAGTTCTAAAATAAAAGCGACATACTGCTTTATTGGATATGCTACAAACAGCAATCTCACTGGTTTTAGAAAGTGGATGGAATTATAATCAATGAGGGCATCTGTTTTTGTTCCATTAGGAATACACCATCCTGAGAACAAATGAAACAGACACATTTATATAAATGCAATTGTAAAATAGTATTTTATTATTTTTAATATAGTGCTGTAACATTTCATAATATTGCATACTGCTCAAATGTTGGTTTATTTAGTTAGGCAAGAATATCCTTCCCTCATCCCACTCCCCAATCCAGAATTTAAAGACACATTATCCTTGTAGAGCCCTACCATATTGGCTCCTAATGTCACATTTCATAAAACAGTAATGCTATGAACTAAAATGAGTAAAGGTTAACAACAATTACTTTGATTTCACAGTTTCACAAAGCAGCCAGTAGATTGCTGAATTCAGAACAGCAACAAAAATTCACTAAGACTTTGTATTAGAGTTACCTTTTCCATAATGCTCCTTCTTAAGAAAAAAATATGAGGCAAAGGTAATGCTTCTTTTAGTCCTTTATTCAATAAATCAAACTTTACCTCGCAAATAAGTTTTACAGTTACCAAATGATGTTATTTCTGTGCCAGCAGATTTATGTGTGTGTGTGGTTTGTTTTTTGTTTTTTTTTGCTTTCTTGTTCTGGTGCTACCAGTTAAGTGAACAAAATGACACTAAAAATTAAGTTCTAGGAACACCTTTCCAAAATAAAACTTGTTAAAGAAAACCAGGCTAGTGAGTCAAGTACTTACAAATATAAAACAAGCATAATTGCATAGATTAACTAGTACAAATTCAAATTCAGACAAAATAAAACAATGAATTTAAATAAATGTAAAAGGCTCTTTCAAGTGTTTTCTTTTTTGCATTAATGTTGCATGCGTTTCCCCTTTACAAGATGTTTTAATTTTTTTTTTTTGGCACAGTTTCTCTTGAATTTAAATATATCTTATTAGGAAAGCAAGATTAAAAAAAGAAATTTTTTTCCATAAGGGTAAGTGAAGATTAATGAAAATATATTTTGGAGCATTTTAAATATTTTATTTGAAAAGAGTAGTCATATATAAAAAAAATTTTAGTAACAAAGTATTTGCTAGTCTTGGTTCAATGAAGTCATCATCATCATGTCCATAGCTGGTCCCAACTATTAGAAACTCCCTCTTGCATTCAAATCTAATCAAATTAATTACCCAAATAACAAATCTAAGAAATTAACTATAATTCTAATTTAGATGCTTAAAATATAGTCATACTCTGTATTTAGAGATATAAGGTTTGTTTTACTGGCAAAATTTAAAAATTATCCCCTCAAAAACCATTTTATATGTGTGTGGGTATATACACACATATATATTATTTTTCCTTCTATAAGAACCATTTTGTTTGAAAGACTTGGCTTAGATATTTATTATTGTGACTACAGGGTCCTCAAAATAAAAGCAGGCACAGCTGGTTAGTTTATGAATTATGCTGCATTATCAAGTTCAATTAGAAAGAGTGGAATACCCTGTCACCTGATACTCAGAACCATCTGTACCACAAAAAAATGTTTATCTCATAAATTCACCATCAATTTGGTAATCTTTGATATAACTACCCTGTTCTTTTGACTATACGTAATGCAAAAGAAAAACTTTTTAGACTAAACTTTATAACTTCCACTACAATAAAATGGGCACAGATACAATCCTCTACTTAACAATATACAAAAGAAGTTTGGCAGATACAGTCGCATTACGGACACCATTTAAACCTGTATTTTATAGCTATAGGTTTTAAGTGTCTTGCCAAAAGCATAATTTCATGATACATAATTTACAAAGTGTCATACTATTTAAAAGTACTCCTATATACAATTTCTTCTTGTAACATGCCTCTGATTTCCAGCAGAAACATTATAAATGCTATCATAAATGAAATCTTTCTTTACAGAATAGACTATGAATCATATCAAAAATGCTTTAGTTCCCATCTTAAAACAGTTGTAAATAAGTATTTTAGGTATATAATTGGAAGTGTAAATAGCCTGCATATAACTATAAAGGAAAAGACTGAGTTCAACAGTACCATATCTGCTTAGAAAGCTCTATCAAGTACAGCACTGTGAGAATAACACACAGACAACATTTACATATGTATCTATAAATAAATATATATATACTTTTTCTATTGAGACTTTTTTTAAAAGCTTCATGGTTTGAAGAGGTTTTTGCTGTTAATACGTAAAACACATACATTATATTGACCAATCTGATACAAACGTAATTTAATACACTGATTTACAAGCAGCAGTATGGCCCTCCAAGTAGTATGAAAAATGAAAAAAAAATTCCTAATATAGATTTGAACTATATTAAAGAATCCTTAGCAATTTTCATTAGTGTCATCCTTTAGTGTCCAAACATGAAGAGCATTTAATAAAATTTAACACATAACAAGGTGATTTCTTCAGGATAATTTTGTCAAAGTACCTAAATTTATTATTACACAAAAAGTGAAACTTTTCAATTACTGCTCTGAAAAAATCAGAGAAAGAATTACAGTATTATTTTTGCTATGCAGCACTACTTTAGATTCATGATGGCATCTCTATCATGATGCTTTTTAAAATGAAGAGTGAAAAAATAATAAAACACTATTTCAAAAATGGTAGCATATTTGGTCAAAATACAAAATATACTAATATAATAGCATTTACATGTTAAAAACACAAATATTTAAATGTGTAATCATTTTAATGTGTTCAACATGAAGAACAGCTTTTCTCTTCACAATTGCCACATTTTAATTGATTATCAGTACAATACTTACATGTTTTATAAATAAATTTTACAGGTTTTCTGTTGTAATTTTTTTTTTTGCAAAGTATAACCTACAGCACAGTGATTTATAATTTAAGGTAATAGATATTTTCACATTCTAATTTAGCTTTTACACTATTTCATGCTTCTGAAGCTTTTTTGTTTTTGCTTCAAGATAGAGGTAGATTTAGTAGATTGGGCGTGTCAGACTTACTGCCAAAATGCAATTATCAGCTGTACTGCTATTGTGCAGTTTCCAAGATGCTAGAAAAAATTCAGAACCATTATATGTAATACTTTACCTAAAGTTCTCCTTTTCAAGCTTAAGTTACTAAACAATTTCATATGTATTTAATTGCTCACAGTTACAAAAAATAGACAAAACAATAAAAACACAAATATAGGTACACCAAAATAACAACAAAACTATAATGAAAGATTGCATCTGAATGGAAACTTTTTTGTTTTGCTTTTTAAAAGTGCATCGACTTTTTCTTTTCTGTTCTAAGTAAAAACACATCAAACATTCCTACTGACATTGTAACAAAGAAGATATCTCTGAAACTATCCTTTGTAGCCATTAATTTTTCCCCCACCAAGTTAAAGTTGAAACCCTTCCATTGGTGCTTCCTGCTGCTGAAACACGAACTGTTGCTGACTTTCATCCACCTGAGGTACAATGCTGGGGTCATCTTCCTCTACACCAAAGTAATGTTCAATCAGATCAAAAGCCTTTTGATAAATTTCCTGATTTTCATGGCTTTGCAGAAATTCAATTTTATCCAGACCTGTTTTATATATATATATATGAAGAAAATTGTTACTCAAGTTTCATCAGATATTTGAACCAAAATAATGAATCAATAGCATCTGTCAGTCCATCAGCAATGGGGCTGTTATTCTTATCTAATTTTTGCATATACTGATAGCCAACACCACTTACGTCTTAAACTTCAAGAATGACAGCATAAGGCAGTGTGGTTATGAGGAAGTAGCACAGGCCTGGGAATAAAAAGATCACAGGGGCGCCTGGGGGGGCTCAGTCATTAAACGTCTGCCTTCGGCTCAGGTCATGATCCCAGGGTCCTGGGATCGAGCCCCGCATCCGGCTCCCTGCTTGGCGGGAGGCCTGCTTCTCCCTCTCCCTCTCCCACTCCCCCTGCTTGGGTTCCTGCTTTCGCTATCTCTCTCTGTCAAATAAATAAATAAAATCTTAAAAAAAAAAAGATCACAGACTCCACCTTGCTAGCTGTGTCATTTTGCCCAAATAAGTTTGGTTTCTCTATATGTTAATTTCTCAATTTTAAAATGACAGTTTTAGAGTATGTAACTCCAAAGGTCCTTTCTAGAGTAATTATGCTATTTATAAAAAGCACAAAAAGGATAAGCATCAAAACAAACACAAATGAAGAAACTAAAAGGTGAGCAAACTAACACACACACACATTCTCTCAGAGAAAGAGCCAGAGGAGATCAATATGGAATGAGTACTATTTACAAATCCATGTAGCTACTGTATATATACCAAAAGTACAAACTGTAAGTGAAACTGAAAAAGCCTATTTTTGCAAAATAAGCAAAATCTAGAGCACTCTATTTTATTGCTTACAGGAAGAAAAATCTACACTAAGTCTGGGTGATGCTGAACATATTTTTCATTTAATTACAGGTAAACCTCTTCAGTTGTATCATTGCAGAATAGTACTGGAAGTACCAGCCAGAGCAACTGGGCAATAAAAAGAAGTAAAAGCCATCTAACTCAAAAAGGAAGAAGTAAAACTATCACCATTTGCAGATGACATGGTATTATATATAGAAAATCCTAAAGACTCCACCAAAAAACTTAAAACTAATCAATGAATTCAGTAAAGTAGCAGTATACAAAATCAGTACAAAAATTTACTGCATTTCTAAACAACCATAACAAACTATCAGAAAGAGAAATTAAAAAATAATCCCACTTACAAGTGCATCAAAAAGAATAAAATACCTAGGAATACATTTAACCAAGGAGGTGAAAGACCTGTACATTGAAAACTATAATGAAAGAAACTGAAGACGATACAAATAAATGGAAAGATATTCTGTGCTCATGGGTTGGAAGAATTAATATTGTTAAAATGTCCATACTACCCAAAGCAATCTACAGTCTACAGATTCAATATACTCTGTATCAAAATACCAATGGCATTTTTCACAGAAATAGAACAAACAATCCTAAAATTTATGTGAATATATATACACACACATATATATATACACATATATATTAAAGATTTTATTTGTTAGAGAGAGAGCACACAGAGGGAGAGTGAGAGGGAGAAGCAGACTCCTCAATAAGCAAAGAGCCCAATGTGGGGCTTGATTCCAGGACCCTGGGATCATGACCCGAGCTGAAGGCAGACACTTAACTGAACCACTCAGGTGCCCCTATATTGAAGCACAAAGAACCCCAAATAGCTAAAAGCAATCTTAAGAAAAAGAACAAAGCTGGAGGCATCATACTCTGATTTCAAACTATACTACAAAGCTATAATAATCAAAACTTACTGGCATAAAAACAGATCAGTGGAATAGACTAGAGGGCCCAGAAAGAAATCCACATATAAAATCAATTAATTTACTACAAAGGAGCAAAGAATGTAACATGCAATGGGGAAAGGGCAGTCTCTTCAAAAAATGGTGCTGGGAAAACTGGACAGTCACATACAAAAGAGTGAAACTGGGCCCCTAACGTATACCGTACACAAAACAAACTCTGATTACTTGAATGTAAGATCTGAAACCATTAAAGTAGAAGAAAACATTGGTGATAAACTATTTGACACTGGTCTTGGCAATATTTTGGATTTGACACCAAAAGCAAAGGCAACAAAAGTCAAAATAAACAAGTGGGGATTACATCAAACTAAAAAGCTTCTGCACAGCAAAGGAACCCATCAACAAAATGAAAAGATAACCTACAGAATAGGAGACAATATTTGCAAGTCATATACCTTAAGGAGTTAATGCCCAAAATATATAAAGAACTCAGCACCAACTCAACACCAAAAACAAGCAATTTGGTTAAAAAATGGGCAGAGGATCTGAACAGACATTTTCCCAAAGAAGACAGATATCCAACAAGTACCTGAAAAGGTGTTCAACGTCAGTAATCATTAGGGAAATTTAAATCAAAACTACAATGAAATAATTACCTCACCATCTGTTAGAATGACTATTATCAAAAAAACTAGAAATAACAAGTGTAGATGTGGAACAAAAGGGACCCTGGTGCACTGATGGTAGGAATGTAAATTGGTGCAGCCACTATGGAGGCTCTTCAAAAAATTAAACTACGCCCCAAAAACAGAACTACCACATGATTTAGCAATTCCATTTCTGGGTATTTATCCAAAGAAAATGAAAACACTAACTAGAAAAGACATCTGTTACCCCCATGATCATTGCAGCACTATTTACAGTGGCCAAGATATATAAGCAATGTAAGTGTTTACTGATGGATGAATGGATTAAAAAAAAAAAACAACTGTAGTATATATATGTATATAATAATATATTATTCAGCCATAAAAGGAATGATATCTTGCCATTTGTGACAATATGGATGGACCTTGAGGGCATTATGCTAAATAAAATAAGCCACACAGAGAAAGACAAATACCATATAATCTCACATATATGTAAAATCCAAAAACAAAAAACAAAACAAAACAGAATACCAAGCTCATAGATACAGAGAACAGACTGGTGGTTGCAGTGGGGGAAGTTGGCAAAATGAGTGAAGGAAGTCAAAAAGTACAAACTTATAGTTATAAAGTCATGGGGATATAATGTACGGCATGAGGACTATAGTTAATAATACTGTATTATGTATGTTTAAGTTGCTAAGAGAGTAAATCTTAAAAGTTCTCATCATAAGAAAAACATTTTGGAACTATGTATGGTAATGGTTGTTAACTAGACTTATTATGGTGATCATGATAGTTTTACAGTATATACAAACACTGAATCATTATGTTGTACACCTGAGACCAACTTGTAATGTTATATATCAATTAAAAACAAAAAGACTTGACTATAATGATACATTTTGAACAGACTGCTTACCATATGCTTCTTCAATGAGAGCACAGTATGGATTAATGCCTATTCCATTCTGCTTAGATTCTTGTTCTCCAAGACGTAAAATATTTTCAAGTCCATTTAAAGCCACTTGGACTATTTTAGAGTCCATAACAGTCAATAGGTCACAAAGTGGTTTAATGCAACCTAAGGCTACCAAATACCTTCAGAGTGATTTTAAAAAAAAGTAGAGAAAAAAAACATTTAAAAAGACTTAAGTATTATTTATAGCAAATATTCTTCAGTGAAATGTTCTACAAACAATTAAGAAAAGTATTTTTATACAAACTCAAACATTAAAACATTTAAATTTTCACTTACATAGGAACCTGAAAACTTCTTTCTACTCTATTTTCATTTAACATAATTAGCAATAAATGAGATAACAAATATTACAAAAATATACATACAAGCAAATTGGTACCTGGGCTGTTTCTGCATGGCATATGAGTAGTACTAAGAATAATAGTGGCTTCAAGGTGCTACTATTTAAAGGTGAGCCTATGTACACACACTGGGGTCATATGGGAGTAGGTAGAAATGAAGAGGGAGAAGGGATATTCAAATCATATTTCCCACAAAAACAATCAAAGCTGATGCTCTAAAATACCATCTGTGCTTCAGAAGCATATAGAAGGCTTCTAGGACTAACATAACACAAAAAAAAAAAGAAGAAGAAGGCTTCTAGGAGCAAAACACGCTATGTTGCGAATAATTTTAATAAACAATGTTCACAAAAGTTATTCCACTCATTTTTTAATACTTTGTCCTTTTCTAGTTTTTATTAGCTCTTTTCCATTCTCTATAATATAAAGTAACTGATTTATTTACTTGGAAAAAAGTCCATTAAGGCTAAAGGAAAAAAAGATGTACTAAAGCCAGACTGCATGGCTTCAAGTCCCAATTCCACTCCTTATTAGCTGTGTGACCTTGAGTGACTGCTCTGTGCCTCAGTTTCTCCATCTTAAAATGGGGATAATAACAGTACCAAGCTCAGAGAGTTGCTATAAAAATACAGTTAAGCATTCAATAAAAGTTAGTTTCTACTTTCCTTTAAAAAAAAAAAAAATACATACCTTCACTAGAGCACTCACTTGCCATATACTATACTATAACTAATCAATATATTTGTTGAATGAATATCTCATAGCGGTATGAAGTTAAAGGACATAAAGTATATGAAAGTACTGGATACTCTCCTGGCACTCAATAACTACCATGACTTAGCACAACAACGGGCAATATCAGACATTCAATAAATATTAGTGGTATGCATGCTGAAATCAATCAGATTCAAGATCTCCTCCCATATTTGTAGAATTAATGAAATGGTGAAAATGGTTAGAAAAAATAATGATCTCAGTTTGGACACTTGATTCACATCAATAAATTTAAGTAATAATATATGGACTAGACATAATAATGAAAATAATTTGAAAAAATACAACTATTTGTAGGTGAACAAAGAAACTCTGGTTCCCAAAGCAGATAAAAATTATATTAGTTTATAAAATAATGCAAGCTAGAACAGGGGGAAGATCTTGTTTTATTACTCTTTATATTCATAACATAATGAGATGGAAATGTAATGGAAAGAGGTAGAATGGAAAATAAAAAGCAGAAGAGATGTTATCAACATACAGAAATATAAATCTAAAGACACCAAGATAATAGTACAAATGAAGGCAGTAAGACAAAGATCTCACAACAAGTTATTTCAAAATCCTCTCAGTGATTTGTAAAATAGCTAGTAGCCTTATTTCTTGTTTTATAAATTAAGACATAAATACTCATTAGAAGATACTTCCTAAACAGTCACTTCAAGAAACCTAAAAAGTCCTGAGTTTCACAGACAAATCCATAGAATAAGAAAATTCTGTAGGAAGTCAAGTGCGAAGCAGAACCTTGCTATGGGGGAAAAGAGAATAAAAGCACAAGATATTAAGAAATTTAGGAATCAATTCTGATCATAAAACTTGTGATGATTACAAATAACAATGATAATACCAGCTAATCTTAGTAGAGAATTTAATGTTTAGGCACCATGTTAAACACTGTAAATGAATCCCATTTAATTATCAAGAGACTACCATAAGGTATTATGTTAATCAAATTCATTTAAAAAATGAAGAAACTGTGGATTAGATAGGTAAAATGGTTTTGTCAAGGTCACACAACCTTTACTGAGGGAACAAGATTTTAAAGCAGCCTGACTTCAAAGCCCATACACCTAGTATTTATGTTGTTAGTAAAAGAAACAAGTAAACAACAAAAGGCCTATCAAAAAAGCTGTCATAAAAAAGAAAAAAAGAAAACTAGTATAGAGAAAGAAAAGATACAATCCACAGGTAAGGCTAACAACTGACTAGGAGAACATCACTATACAAACAAATGTCTATTTCAGTATTTAATTTTATTTTTAATAATGATTTTAAATAAGTGGATGTTCAAATTCATTAGTCATTTCTACATAATAAAGTCACATGCATGTGACTCTAATGGTATAAAAAATATTTAATGTCCATCAGAGTATATTTTGCAAATTAATATAAACTGTTCTTTTTCAGATTTTTAATCTCTGATTTTTCATAAATAGTCTGCCAAGGCAAGTGATGTTAATTATCCTTTACTGAAAAAACAAAACAAAACAAAAACTACTGTGAATGAATAATACAACTGATGTAACAAATGCTTTCATTTCACATTAAAATGACTTAGAAATAATGTTTTGGTTTCATCAACAAAGTATGCAGTACTTCGTTTTGTCCCATTTACATTTAAAAAAATAAATTAAAAAACTCTGTATCACACCTTATTTGTTCTGGAGTACCTCCTGATGTTGCATTAGTTATAGCCCAAGCTGCTTCTTTCCTGGTGCGAAACTCTGCTTTCTGAAGAATCTCAATCAAAACAGGAAAAATATTTGCATCTATAACAGCCTGAGGAGGAAAAATGATAAACAGTGCCAATACTGTTTTAAAAATGTTATTAAGTAGAGAAATTGTAAGACCCATTGGCTTTAAAATGTCACGTCACGCTTTTTGGAAATAAAAATCTTTGGAAATCTTTCTAATCTTTTTTTTTTTTTTTAAAGATTTTATTTATTTATTTGACAGAGAGAGAGACAGGGAAAGAGGGAACACAAGCAGGGGTAGTGGGAGAGGGAGAAGCAGGCTTCCCGCTGAGCAGGGAGCTTGAAGGGGGGCTCACTCCCAGGTCCCTCGATCATAACCTGAGCCGAAGGCAGAAGCTTAAAGACTGAGCCACCCAAGCGCCCCTCTTTCTAATCTTTCAACAAACTTTCATGTACTTTCAAGACTGGAAAATATATTAACAGAATATTAATTTTAAAGATGATAAAGCAGGGGCACCTGGGTGGCTCAGTTGGTTAAGCGACTGCCTTCGGCTCAGGTCATGATCCTGGAGTCCCGGGATCGAGTCCCGCATCAGGCTCCCTGCTCAGCAGGGAGTCAGCTTCTCCCTCTGACCCTCTTCCCTCTCGTGCTATCTCTCTCTCTCTCTCAAATAAATAAATAAAATCTTTAAAAAAAAAAACAACTAATAAAAATCAATTCCTTTTTAAGACTAGCCATATGTGTCCAGCACCGTGGGCAATTTTATACACACACCCACACACAATTCCTCCCTAGACCACTATAAATGAATGTTATTATTTTAGAGGAGAAAAGGCCATGTTCTGTAAAATCCTTTTCAAGAATTTAAGTAACTCATTAAAAAAAAAAAAAAAGCAGTGATAAAATGCTGACTTTTGTCCAAACTGACTTAAGAGATCTATCTTCCTGTTTTCTTAGATCTGAAAGGTGTTTACCTGAATCTGAGCTCTATTTCCAGCAGTGATGTTAGAAACAGTCCAGCAGGCTTCTTTTCTGATTGATTCCTTTGGGCTACTCAGTAAGTGTAAGAGACATGGTAATGCAGAGCAATTCAAAATTACCTGAAACAAAAACCAGAAATGGAAACAGAAAGTTTTATAGCAAAAAACTACAGAAAGATAGACTGATTTATAAAAATATAAAAATCACTCTTGAAAAACTAAATTAAGAAAAAAGAAATTCCTCTCAAAGTAAAACTTAGGTACTTGCTACCTTCTACTCTTTCCACTTCGCCAAAACTTGGTGCAGTAAAGCGCTCTGTCAAACCACTAAATTGAGAATAAGCAGGACACCAGAGGTGTGTCCTTCATGTTTACGAATACACTCAAGAATTCAACTGGTATGACAATTCAAGAGAGATTTAGTGACTGGTCAGGATCCAAACTCTAGTTTTGCCAAATGAGATGATGAAAAAAACATGATGAAACAGTTTGAAAGTACCTAATTCCATAACTGGTAAGAAACCTCAATGTATAGAGTAAGTCAATTTTTTTCATTAAAATTTTTTACTGTTCCACTTTTCTTTTGTAAAGAAGTATGTTCTGCTTTGTCCCTTTACATTCTTCATTCCATGGCATAATTAATTATGTTCCTATTTTTAGAATACCCACAATGATTTACATTAAATTTACTTGGTGAAGAATGTATGAAACAGTGTACCAAAATTCTGTTGAGTGTTATGTTTAGAAGGGCATTCTCATTTAAAGAGATATTTTAAATTAGTAACTCTCAAATTACTAAGGATCAACTATTTAATAACTAATACATCTAAATAGGATTAAATAAGATTAAACCTGAAAGATAATATGTAAATTAGAATAAAGTTTAAGTTATGGTGGCAAGCAAAGGAGAATCTAATGTGTTACAGAGTTTAAGTTTCTATCTTCAAGAAAGATTGCTCCAGATCTAAAGTCAATCTTGGCATCACACCTTTTCTGGTATCTCACCATCCTCCAAAAGACAGAGAGACAGACAGACACACACACACATAGTTACTAACCAGGAAAATGTTTCCTTTCTATCTTTCCTTCCATTCCCATAATCTAGGTCTTCAATCTACTACAAAAGGACCTCCCATTTCTAACCAACCCCATGTTTAAACTATTTATAATTAATCACCCTTTCACTAACAGTTCCTTCTCCGGTCAAGCTTAATGTCTCTTAAATACAACCCACACATGTCTGCCTTTGTACCTATGTTCACATAAATCTCTTCTAGTTTACTAAAGTTCTTCCCCAACTTTAAGATATAGCTTTAATTCCAACTTCTTTATGGAATCTACAAAGATTTCTCAGCATAGTGATCTCTTTTTTAAACTTCTATAGCGTTTACTGACCAACCAACTCTCAGCAAACATACACTAACTTGGGTAATTTGCTTTGCTTTAATATATATTTTCTCTTCAATTTTATTATAAATCCCTCAAGAGCCAACCTCCTATCTTGTACTTCTATATATCGATATAGATCTAGGATAGTGCTTTCACATACAGGTATTCGAGGTTGAGCACTTATCATCAAGAATATGCTGTCACATTATAGATGCCTATATAGTTATGGTAATGCTAAAGTCTTGATTAATATGTAACCAAGTATGAAGTATCTAGTATGAAACTAGATAAATTTCTTAAAATCCATTATCTTAACAATTTATCATATTAAAGTCTGAACTTACCTGTGTTTGAATATCATCACCAGTCACAATATTACCAACTGCTCTTAATGCAGGTGATACAACTTTATAATCATTGTGCCTAAAAATAATAAAAATATGAACTTACATACTATGCAAGAGTTAAAATTTACAAAAAAATTTGCAAGAATTATACAAAATAGTCCTGTATACTCTTTACCCAGAGATCCCACTCAAGTTTCACTAATTATGCCAGTAATACTTCTGTAATAAAGAATCTAAGACAGGATTATGTATTAGACCCAACTGTCATGTCTCTAGTCTCTTTCAATTCAAAACAGTTCCTATTTTTTCCTTTATTTCCTGATCTTGACATTTATAATGTCATAAACCAATTATTAGGTTTTGTCCAATGTTTCCTCATGATTAAGATACAAATTATATACTTTTAGCTAGGATATCACAAATGCAACCGTCTTTTCATTACATAGGATAGCATCTGATACCTGTTTTGTCCACAATAGTAGCACTGAACTCCAGTCACTTAAAATGGTGTGTGTCAGATTTTTCTACTTCAACATTACTGTTTTTCCCTTTATAATTAATATTTCTGAGAGGATATACTTTTAGACTATGTTAATCCCATTCCTTATCCCACTTTCACCAACCACTACTTTCACCACTTCTTGATGTGTATTGTCTGAATTATTATTAATATTGTTGCCAATGATAATTTTGTAATACCAACATTATATGCTTTTTCAGTCTATCTATTGATGTACCTACTTATTTTAGTGTGGACTCATGGATTCCTATTTTATTCAATGCTCTAACATATTACTATAATTTATTTTAATGCTCAAATCATCCGAAGTTTGGAAGTTTGAATGGTAGGAGTCCCCTTAAGTGGGTTTCTGTGTCCTTTTGATATTTCTCCATTCTTTGAGCACTTATTACTTTATGGGGTCATCTTATTTTTTCTCAATGCCAGCCCTAGAATCAGCCATTTATCCAAGAATTTTGGTTCCTGTTAATGAAAAGTAGTTTTTAAAAACCAAGGCTTGGTGTGTTCAGCTTTTTAGTACAGGAGTGTCACTACTCACAGGGCCTTTAAGAGCTTACGCGCACGCGCACACACACATATCTATTTATTTCTATATCTCTTTATGTTTAAAGCCATGAGTTCACATTGATATCTCCAGTTCTCATCTAATACCATAATATTATTCTGGCTTTCCTCCTTTCCGTATTTGTATCTCCATTCTCTTAGAATAAGAAACTGGCTTCTGATCCAGCTAGGCTGTTATCCATCATGTGCTGTTCCAGCCTGCTTGCTCTTCTGCTCTAGTGCCATCCTCAAGCTTGAGCCCTGATCCCCTCATTGGACCCGCCTGCCTACCCTCCTCAGGTGTTGTCTTTGGACTAGAGCCACGACCCCTTATCAGACCTTTCTTCTTTGTGCCATCTGCTTTGTTTGAGCCTACCTAATGGCTTTTTGACAAAAGGAAGTAGTATAATAAATCTTTTTAAAGAAAAATAAAGAAACTATCTTTTTAAAACAAATTCTCTTACAAGTTTTTAACTTCTTTTATAAAAAAAATCTGTTCTTTTTAAAGAAGGTAGCAATAATAGCCTAGCAAGTGAAATACTAAAACAAGTGAAATACTAAATGTTTTCACTTACATGGACTTTTACACAAATTAGTTACTGTAATGAACAACTAACTAGATTACTGGTTCTGTGAGAGCAGGTACCGAGTTCTATATTTCATTAACAATATGTTGTACAATACTCTAGCAGGTAACAGGCATTCCATATATAACTGTTGAATTAAGTCCCTGACATTCGTAAAAAGATTAAAACTAATGAAATACATTCACAAGATTATTAGTTCCAACTAAAGGATGAGATACAAATTTAAAAAGGTCAACTTTTCAGCATTATAGCTATCCTGAAAAGTGGGGTTGATGGCTTTTCAATTCTTCTGAAGATAGTCACTCTTGAGATATTTATAAGGCCATTACTCTACCTGCTAAATTTAATATACAATCATATAATTATTAATCATAAATTGTAGTTACATCAAAAGTTCCACCAATCTTCGACAGACTCCAGAATCAATGACTGCTTGAATTTTATCATTGGGTCCATCAGAAAGATAAGAAAGGGCCCAGCACACATCTGCTAATACATCTGGGTCACTGCTAAACAACAATCGTGACAAGACATTTAAGCAAGGTGAAACCTGGAAGAAAAGAGCCAATATTTAACAATTTTCTCTAAGACTGAGTTTCTTTAGGAAAATACAGAAACACATTTTAAAACAAAAATTTAATGCTATAAAAATACCAGAGAAATTAAAACATTCTATTGTTTTAAAAAATTATGATCATATATATGAACATATAACCAACTGTTTCCAATTAATCTTTTTTTTGAAGATTTATTTATTTTAGAGACAGAGAGAGGGGGCACAAGCTGGGGGAGGGAAAGAGGGAGAGAGGGAGAGAGAGAGAGAGAGAAAGCAGACTCCCCCCTGAGCAGGGAGCTCAACACAGGGCTTGATCTCAGGACCTGAGATCATGATCTGACCTGAAACTAAGAATCAGACGCTTAACTTACTGAGCCATCCAGGTGCCCCTCCAATTAATCTTACATTAAATAAGATATGTGGTAATTTAAAATTAAGAGTAATGAAATACATATTTGATATCCCCTATGTTTAAATCACACACATAACACACCCAAAAAAGGCATTCCAAAGCTAAGAGAAGTAAAGATGTTTTAGTTAAGTATTTAATATGATCATGAAATATGATCCAACTGAAATAAACCTCACCCTACTTATTACATGTACATTATTGGAAACAAATCTAATAATCAGTTGAGGACTAAAGGTGTAGAAAATACAAAAAGAAATCTGAAGGGTTTTTAAATGAAAGTCACTAATAAACTGCACTTCTTAATGTACCGAAACCCTGAATCTTCAATTACAAAAAAAGAAAAACCACATACATGACAACAGGTTTTAGTCCCCCTAGCATTAATATTACAACTACTTAGTTGTGAAATGAGCATATCACTTCACCTCTCTGAGACTCAGTTTCCAAATCTGTGAAACAAAGGCTGAATTAGACAAATTCTATGATCCTTCCTTTCTCAAATCAGACAGTCGTAGATTCACTAGCTGTATGACCATGGGAAAATTACCTAACATCTCTGAAACCCAATTTCTTCATTTATAAAAGAGGGATAAAACAGTAGTTAAATTAGTAAGAATGTATGTAGCATCTTAGAACAGTACCTGACATATAGTAAACACAGAGATGTTCGCCCTTTTTATTGCCATGATCAGTATTGATTCTATATTCCTTAAAGTTTTTTTTTAAGAGTTGTTTTTTTTTAAGATTTTTATTTATTTATTTGACAAAGAAAGAAAGAGAAAGGGCACAAGCAGTGGGGAGCCCGCTATGGGGCTCGATCCCAGGACCCTGAGATCATGGCCTGAGCCAAAGGCAGACGCTTAACCAACTGAGCCACCCAAACACCCCAAGTTGTTTTTTTTTTAATCAGCAACCTAAAGTATCCCTCAGATAAGAGCTGTATACTAAATTTAGATGTGCCACAAATAAAGAGTAATGACAGCTTTTTAAAGGTTCTAGTACTTAAGATGAATTTTCTCTTTACCTCTATTTTAAAGATTGCCAGTACATAAACTATAACCTTCTGAAAATACTTATCTCTCTTCTCTGCAGGGCCCTTCTGTACGGATGACCCCAGGGCCCAGGAACAAAAAAAACCAGTTTGCTTACAAAACAGGTATGTTTGTAAGTTAGTAAAACAAATCTGCACAACTGGATCCTTTCCGAACAAACATGCCTTCACCCTTGCCAATGACCTCCTCTTCCTCAAACAGAGAAATGTGAGAATCATTTTTTAAAGCAAATATAAATTTTTGAGTTAAAAAAATCAGCATACTGATCCATATCTTTTTACTGATTTAAAAAATGAAGCATCACAGATTTCCAGTTTTAAGGGAGCAAAATAAAAACACTTCTGAGCCACTGTCTTCTCAGAAACAAGGGAAAGAAAAATACAAATTCGATTTCTGAGGAGTGCAGCAGACATCTGTAATCATGCCCATAATATATCATGGACAGGATTATAAATGAGGAGAGAAAGGTGACACCTCTATGCCTGCAGAGGGAACTACCAATAAGAAGAAAGCTAATTTAAAAGAAGAAGAAGAAGAAGAAAGCTAATTTATCCTCCAATCATCACCCCAAAGGGCCTCAAGAATCAGAGGTGCCAGCTATCACAGAAGGCACAGGAGAGCAATGATGCTAAAACAGAAAGAAAGCAAGCTTAAAAAGCTAAATGAGAAAGAGGTTAGACTGTAGGTAGGTGTCTAACATTCTCAATGCTACAAAGACTAGAGGTTTATTTTAAGGAGAAACTGAAAAACAAAAAGTGAACTACAGAAACTGAACTTGGGGTATCAGACATAGACAAGTTTGAAATAAAGCATGAGAACAGAAATCACAGAGATTAAGTAAAAATTTACATACTGACTGATGAAAACCTCTAGTCCTCTTCCAATGCCCAGCTCCCACATCTCCAGTAGTATTATCTACTCTACACCTCAACCCAATCTATTCACTTTGCAGGAGGAGACTGGAAAATCTGTCTCTGGAGAAACAGAATGGTCTCAGAAAACATACAGAAATTCTGAATTCCTCAAAGAAAACATGGTTCTGCCACCATTTACTCTATAATGAAGCCCATGAAAGGACGAGTCTATACACCCACCTCTATACCCATTTTCCATTTAGCTTTTAGTGTCTGCCTCCTAAGTATGTCCAGAGTGCTCAGGATCACAAATTATATGAGGAGATCTCCCAGTAAAAAAGAGACTAAAACAAACAAACCACAAACAAAACAAAAACATACAAAGAAACAGAGACACCAGAAAAAAGAAAACTTCAAAAAAATTATAAATCCTTAGGAAATCAATTTGCTGGGTCCATAAAAAAAGCTATAACACCTATATAGAAAAGTCTATCTAAAGATGAGCAGAGAACAAAAAAAATTCTTGAAAATATGATTGTGAAAATAAAAATTTCAAAAAAAATGTGAATGATAAAATCTCTCATAGAAAATCACAGAAAATTTACCCAACAAAAGTCTTAAGCCCTATTAATGTGAATTACACTGTAAGTTTGGAACACATAAGTAAACAAAAAGAGACAAAGATTCCTAACTCTAAGGAGTTTATATTTTAGTGGAAGAAAGATTTTTTTTTTTAAAAATTAAATAGGTAATAAAATTTTAAAAACATGTATTATGTTAAAAGATGCTAAGAAAAAATTGGAGTAAAATGTGGAGGTCAGTGGCTGGGGTAGTAAGAGATTACATTATTATGTAAGGTAGTCAGAGTACAGCTCATGGAAAAGGTAACTGATGAGCAAGCACTTAAAGAAAATGAGGGAATTATGTAGATATTAAGCATTAAATTGTAGGCCAGTGGTTCTCAAAGTGTGGTCCATGGACCCCTGAAGGATTCTTGAAACCTTGGAAGCAATCTTTAATGCCAAAATTTTCATAATTATACTAACACATAATTGGTCTTTTTCATTTTGTTGACATTTGCACTAAAGTTACAAAAGCAATGGTGGGTAAAACTCAGCATAAATCAAGGCAGTGGTACCAAAATGTACCACAGATCTTTGTATTCTTTATGTTCACATAAGTGCAAAGAGGCCAATGGGGGTAAGGGGGAGGGTGCCTATTTAAGAATTACCTTGTAGAAGCAGTAAAAATTACTAATTTTATTAAAACTCAATTCTTGATTACATGTCTTTTGAAAACATTGTGAGATGAAATGGGAAATATGCATATATACACACACACACATATATATACATATAAAATATATTTTAAAAATATATTTGCTGCCTATTTGAGAACCAACTGCAGATGTTATCATGATACTTCACCCCTACATCCTTCAGCATGTATCTCCTAAGAAAAATGGCATTTCTTTACGTTCTTCTAGACATTGTTATTGTCACATCCAAAATTTTTTCATTGGTACAATAATATTATCTAAGGTCTAAAGCAAATTTAAATATTTTAATTTCAATCCATGATCTAATCAGTAAACACTGCATTTACTTGTTATATCTCACTAGTATCTTAAAAAAATCAGGTTTATTGAAGTATAAATTACAGTAAAAATAATTCTTTTTAGGTGTACAGTTCTAATGAGAGTTTTGACAAATACATTCAGTTGTACAGCTACCACCCAATCAAGATATAGAATATTTCTATCATCTTTAAAACTACCCTCCTGTCCCTTTCAGGCAATCGCTGATCTGATTTTGTTTCTATAGTTTTGTCTTTTCCAAAATATTATATTAACAAAATATACAAGATATAGCATTTTTGTGTGGCTTCTTTTGTTTAGCTTAATTCTTGTGAAATTCACTCATGTTGTTGCATGTACCAGTAGCTTCTTCTTTTTTATTGTTGAGTTATATTCCATCATACGAATGAAACATAATTTGTTTATCCATACACCAGCTATTGTACATTTGGGCTGTTTCCAATTTTTGGTGATTATGAATAAAGCTCTCAAAACATTTTTGTACAGGTCTTTTTGTACACATACTATGTCCTATTCCTTGGGTAAGTACCATATTGCTAAATAGCACAGTAACAAACTGTCTTCTTACTAAAGTGTCTGTGCCATTTTACGTTCCTATCAGCAGTGTTTAAGAATTTCAGTTGCTATCCATCTTGTCGGCACTTGGTATTACTAGCTTTTTAGATTTTAACCGTTCTAATAGGTGTGTGCCATCTTTTAATCTTGAATAGCTCCTCAGCCTATCTGTGTGCTTTCACACTGCTGATATTCTTAGAGTCCAGGACATTTATTTCACAAACCATTCCTCAATTCTGATTTGTCTTACTGTTTCCTCATTATTAGATTCAGACTAAACATTTCCAGCAAGAGCGTTACATAAGTGATGATGTGTTATTTTTAGTCATGACACATCTGAAAGCACATAATGTCAGTTTTCCCTTTATTAGTAATGTTAAACTTAATCGTTTGGTTAAGGTGACTAAACTCCACTAGAATTCTCAACAGTAGATAAAACTCCCTCCTATCCCCTTTGTAATTAATAAATACTCTGTAGGGTAATACTTTCTAACCATGTCAATATTCTGTTCCCAGTAATCTTTCACCTAAATGTTTTAGAACTCATTGATGACTCCTGCCTAAATCAATTATTAGCATGGTAAATGACATTTCTAATATGAAGTCCTTCTACAAGTATTAATTGGGATTCTTCTGTTAAAAAGAGCTTTCTTTCCCCATTTTTAGTATTAGGATAGACTCACAGATTCTTTTTTTTTTTTTTAGATTTTATTTATTTATTTGTCAGAAAGAGAGAAGAGAGTGCGTGCACACACAAGCAGGGGAAGCAGCAGGTAGAGGGAGAAGCAGACTCCCTGCTGAGCAGGGAGCCCGATGTGGGACTCGATCCCGGGACCCTGGGATCATGACCTGAGCCGAAGGCAGACGCTTAACAACTGAGCCACCCAGGCGCCCCTAAGGAAAGGAAATACTTTTAATACATTGAATAAAAAGAATCTGGGGTGCCTGGGTGGCTCAGTTGTTAAGGCTCAGGTCATGATCCCAGGGTCCCAGGATCGAGTCCCGCATCGGGCTCCCTGCTCAGCAGGGAGCCTGCTTCTCCCTCTCCCTCTGCCTGCCACTCCTCCTGCTTGTGCTGTCTCTCTCTGTGTCAAACAAAAAAATAAAATCTTAAAAAAAAAAAAAGTATTTCCTTTCCTTAATTCATCTTGATCCTCAAATAGTACCAAATTTGGCTAGAGGAACCCCTACCTGAATATACTTCAGAAGTAGAGCCAACAGGATTTACTGATGCAGTGAATGTAGAGAATGAGATAAAAGAGAAAGCAGGCAAAAAAATGTTAAAGTACCTCATTTAATAATGGAAGATGAAATTCTATTAACTGATGGGAAAGACTGTTGGTTCAGAAGGTTCTGGGGGAAAAGAAGAGGAATTACATTTTAAATAAGTTAGGTTTAAGATGTCTATTAGATATCCAAATAAAGATGCTGAGTTTGGAGTTAAAAAGAAGATCTGAGCCAAGCACTGAAATCTGGAAGTTGCTGGCATGTGGATGACATTTAAAGTCACAGAATGGGCAATATCAATAAGGAATTGAATGCAGATAAAGATAAGAAAAAGCCAAAACCATTCACTTTGTACTCTCAACTTTAGTAGGAAAAAGAGAAGAGGAACTAATATATGAAACTGAGAAGGAGCAATCACTGAGGTAGAAGGAAAACTTAAAGAGTAGTGGCCTGAAAACCAAGTGGAAAAAAATTACATAGGAGGAGGGAGTGATCAAATATGTCATATGAAGGCAATAGCTCAGGTAAGATGAAGACTGAGAAATCACCACTGTGATGTATCAAGTCATTTAAGATGAGGTCTAAACACTGACCCCTGGATTTCACAATGTGAAGACACATGTGCCCTTAGTGAAAGCAGATTCAGTGCAGTGACTGAGGGAAAATTCTGACTGGAGAGGATTCAACAAGAATGAAAGGAGAGAGAGTAGACAATGAGAATAGACAAATGAGGAATTTTGCTATAAAAGGAAGCAAAGAAATGGGGTGGAAATAAACATGGGAGCTAACAGGGCTTTCAGGGACTAAGAAAAGATTTAACATGAGAGAAATAACAGTATATTTTTACAGTATTGAGAATGATGTAGGAGAGAGTAAAACAATTACTAATGTTGGAGAGGAAAGGAGTGATGGACCTGGAGCAATGACCCTAAATGGGAAAACAGAAAGCTATGCAGTGTCCAAACAAATGAACTGGCTTTATAAAGAAGCATGGCTAAAGTAACCAACAATGACAGGAATGTATAGTAGTACAAATGATGACAAGATGGCAAATGTAATGATGGTAGTAATCTATGGAACTTCTCTTCAGAGTGCTTCAATTTTCTCAGTGAAGAAGCAGGATCATAAACTGAGAGTGAGGATGGAGAAGGAAGCAGAGGTAGGATGGAAGAGAAAATAAGAAACAGTCTCCTAATTGAAAAATCCTTTCTTTTTTTGCCAGCTATTAAAGTAATATCTACCATTATAAATGTGAATTGACCTGAAATTAAGATAAACACATGGCTTCTCAAGATTCATATAACTTCTCAAAGTCCTTAATGTTCCATTAGATATCTCATAAAGGCAATCATTTTTTAAAAGGAAGCTTAGAAAATTGTGGTTTAGACTACCAGTTTTACAAATTATAAATTTTATAAATTTCAGTTTTTTTCAAATAAGCAATTCTTCAGGAAAAGCATCTCTATGAGACTGTTTTTAAAAATGAGTCCTTTATAATAAAGTAGATGATTATTATTAGAAAAATTTAAAAAAAATCTTTACTGCTTGTCTATGGCTAAAAGAAGTCTTAAAAAACCATGTAATATAATTACACAAAAAGATCTAAAAATTTAACAATGCCTAAAAAAAATTCCAATACTATTACTAAGTAGAAAAAAAAGAAAAATGAAATATGGCATTTTAAACTAATTATATATTTACAACTATTATCACATAATTATTATCTCAACATATACACATAGAGATGCACACTATTTTAAAAGCAAAGGGTAAAAACCTCCAAATTCTTAAAAGGAATGTATTTTAAAGAAATTTAAAATGAAAAGCAATGCATAAACCAAAGTTCACTGAGTAAAAACTCAATCAAAACAGTTATCCCATACCATTTTTTAAGAGGTAAAATAAAGAAATTACTATAATTGCTAAAACCATGAATCTATATACAATTAGCAAGCCAATTCTACATATGCAAGTTTAAACCTACGAATAGCTGGTGAAGGATTCATCATCATGAGTTGAATTGATCCTTATTATCTCCTCAGACAAAATATGAACATTTTTTTCCTTTCAATTCTATTATAATCATTGCTAAATGATGTTTTTATATAGAATGTTTAAAAAAAAAAAAGGTCATTGAGGGGTACTTACGTACCACATAAATATTCTTTTCCTTGTATTATACCCAGTTCAAATACTCATCCCTTATCCTTCTACTATTAAAGTGACAATTATAAAAAATTCTTTTAAACTAACTAAGGCCATTGCTGCAATATTATTTCATAACTTGCTTCCTTGGGGAGCAGTGGTATATAGTTTACTCAAAACTTTTCTAAGATATTTATCTATTAAACCAAATTTCTGATTAAAACAATAATTTTGGGGGCGCCTGAGGTGGCTCAGTAAGTTAAGCATCTGACTCTTGATTTTGGCTCAGGTCATGATTTCATGGGTCATGAGATCAAGCCCCGCACTGGGGCAGGGGAAGGGAGGCATGGTCAGCAGGGAGTCTGCTTGAGATTCTCTCCCCCTGCCCCTCCCCCGCCAAGTGCATGTGTGCCTTTTCTCTTCTCTCTCTCTAATAAATACAAGTCTTTAAAAAAATAAATTTTGTTCCCTCTTTTATTTTTAGCATACTTTACAATGCTTTAAACTAGCTTCTTAGTCATATTATGTACTTGTCAATAAACATGGAATAGAATAGGCATGGATGGTTATGGAAAAATTTTATGAATTATGATTGAACACATAACATGCTATGGGTGTGGTAAAAGATCAACAGATGATGGTACTAATGAGATTTTAAAGTCATGGTGGTGGTTCAGATGAAACGTGGCAAAAATGATCATGCATTTTTTAAACTGGAATGGTAAAAGTATAAATGAGAAGGCATACCGACTCATGCATCATATTTTTCAATTAGGAATTTATTAATTTTTGCCCACAGAAACTTTATCACTAAATCCTCACCAGATTTTCAGCTCTTCTTAGGGCTACAAAGTTCCCCTTTCATTCAAAGATACTGAATTCAAAAGAAGTATAATGGTAGCCCAGAAATTTACCTACATTCTATCTTTTTAACATCTTACTGGTAAGAAAGTAGAACTAGATTGGAAACTTATTAATAATCTATTCTTTTAGCAGAATATGAGCAGATGGGGAAAAAGATATTCTAAAAAGATAAAAAGTTCACTGGGAAAGCACAAGCCACTGTGGACTAATTACTTTTCCAATTTTACAACTAATAGTGGGCCTGGATGAATTACCTTAACCTTTTTGGGAGCTTCAATTTCATTTATAGGATATAAATGAGACAAACTAGACTAGAAGATTTCTAACGTCAACACTAACATACATAAACATCAAGTGACAGTGGTTGCCGAGAGGCAATCATGAGGTAAAGTAAGAGGAGAAGGGAAACTTCCTTTCTATTGTATATCTCTAGACTTTGTATATGTGCAAATATTGTCTAGTCAATAAAGAAAATAATTGCTAAAAAACGGCATAAAGTTCCTTCAATCTCTGAAAGTCTATTATAAGGAGACTTAATTAAAAGTTTATGTATATAGATTCCTTAATTTGTATATTTTACTCATACCTTACTAAAGTTTGGAGGAGGGTTTTTGCCTCTACATAAATTTGAGAGAGCCCATACAGCATTTCTGGTTGTTGTAAGTCTGTTTGAATTTGTTAATAACCTGCCAAAAAAAAAAAAAAAAAATAGAAAAAAGAAAATTGTCACTTTACATTCATTTCTTCTTTTTAGCTATTTTATTATCATAAAATATAAAAATTCTCAATATATTTTATAACATAGTCAACGTGGTAAAGTAGGAAATGTAATTTAAAAAAAGTCATTATAAATATGTATTTAGCAATTATATATATATATATACATATATATATATAACACTGCTTTATTTTTAAAATTCTGAATCTATGATCTGAATGGATCCTTAGAAGACATAAAACGTGTTCAAACGAAAGTGTCATGGAAAACTGACTTATCTGCTTCTGTATACTTTATTTTTTTTAAACCTTGACAGATTTATTGTTTGAAGTCACAATATAAAGTAACAGATAGTGCAATTTTGAATATGAAATCTTTAGACTAGGGCTTTAGAGGAGAAAAGAGAATGCATAAAGTCTTCCCAAAAGTAGCCTCAGCATTACAAATTAAGGACAAATTATCTCAGTTAAAAAAAGAAAAGATACAAAATACTGGGTTTGGTGCTTAAAATTATTTCTATATACTTTAAAAAGAGTATTAGGATTCTGGGAGAGAGAAGAAAAGATGGTGGAGGAGTAGGGGACCGTATTTCAACTGGTCCCCGGAATTGAGCTGGATATTTACCAGACCACTCTGAGCACCCATGAAATCAGCCTGAGATGTAAGAAGATCTGGACCTCCACAAACAGAATATCGCGGGCAGTTGGTTTCGAGGTACGAAGCAGGGAGCCGTTAATTCCACGGTAAGATATTGGAGGATAAACGGCAGCGGGAGGGACCCTGGCCGTGGGGATCCTACACCGCCGGTGAGCGACAGCCTCACACACTGGGGACGGGGCACAGACTGGCAGACCAGTAGCGGTGGAGAAAGGACTTTAGGGCAGCCCGCGGAGCAGAAATCAGGAGCAGCGGGGTCACGCGTGCAAACTGGGAGTGGCTGGTGGTTTTATAAGCACAAACGGCAGAGACGTGCCCCAAGCTGGAGGCAGGACTGGGAGCGCTGCAGAGGGGGGCACGACGCAGGACGCTGCAGTTTATAGCAGCACAGACAGAAATGGAGACAGTGCGGCCTGGAGAGCTCACTGAAGAACAGACTGCGGTCTCTCTGCTCTGAGGCAGAGGGTTGGAAACGGTCTCTTCTGCTCTCTCAGAAGAGTCGTGGAAAGCCGCCAGGGAAAGCCAACAGAGACCAAAAGCCCCAAAAAACTGATTCCCACTGAGCCCATTCCCCGCCACAGCCGGGAGGGCAACTCTGCCCAAACAAGGTTGCCTGAGTAACAGCACGGCAAGCCCCTCCCCAGGAAGACAGGCTGGGAAAACAAAAGGCCAGCAACCCTAAGGTCCCTAGAAAACAGGTGCATCTTGCTTGGGTTCTGGTCAATGATTTGGACTCTATACACTCCCTCAACCACCCATCAACAGAATGACTAGGAGGAGGAACCCCCAAAATAGAAAAGACTCAGAGATTATGACTTATGCCCCAGATTTACAAATGGATACAGATATAACCAAGATGTTGGAGATGGAATTCAGGCTAGCAATTGTGAAGACAATAGCTAGAAGGGAGAAATCAATTAATGGCAACATAGAGTCCCTAAGGGCAAAAATGAAAGCTGAGTTGGCAGAACTTAAAAATGCTATCGATGAGATCCAATCCAATTTAGATAATCTAACAGCTAGGGTAACTGAGGCAGAAGAACGAATAAGCGACCTAGAAGACAATATAATAGGTAAAAAGGGAAAAGAGGAGGCCAGGGAAAAACAACTCAGAATCCATGAAAATAGAATCAGAGAAATAAGTGACACCATGAAGCGTGCCAATGTCAGAATAATTGGAATCCCAGAGGGAGTGGAGAGAGAGGACTAGGAGATGTATTTGAGCAAATCGTAGCTGAGAACTTCCCTAATCTGGTGAATGAAACAAACATTCACATCCTAGAGGCAGAGAGGACCCCTCCCAAGATCAAGGAAAACAGGCCAACACCCCAGCATGTAATAGTAAAACTCGCAAATCTTAGAACCAAGGAAACCATCTTAAGGGCAGTTAGGGGGAAGAGATTCCTTATGTACAGAGGGAGGAACATCAGAATAATGTCACACCTATCCATGGAGCACTGGCGAGCCAGAAAGGCCTGGCAAGACATGTGTAGGGTACTAAACGAGAAAAACATGCAGCCAAGAATACTTTATCCAGCAAGGCTGTCATTTAGAATGGATGGAGAGATGCAGAGCTTCCAAGACCAGGAGAAACTGAAAGAATATGTGACCACTAAGCCGGCCCAGCAAGAAATATTAAGGGGGGTTCTATAAAAGGAGAAACACCCCAAGAGTGATATACAACAGAAATTTACAGGAACAATCTATAAAAACAACGTCTTCACAGGCAACATGAAGACAATTAATTCATATCTTTTAATAAGCACTCTCAACGTGAATGCCCTAAATGCTCCCATAAAACGGCACAGGGTTGCAGACTGGATAAAAAGACAGGACCCATCCATATGCTGTCTAGAAGAGACTCATTTTGAACCTAAACATACATCCAGACTGAAAGTGAAGGGATGGAGATCCATCTTCCATGCCAGCGGACCTCGAGAGAAAGCTGGGGTAGCAATTCTTATATCAGACAAATTAGATTTTAAACTAAAGTCTGTAGTTAGAGACACAGAAGGACACTATATCATTCTTAAAGGGTCTATCCAACAAGATCTAACAATTGTAAATATCTATGCCCCCAACATGGGAGCAGCCATCTACATAAGCCAACTGTTAACCAAAATAGTCATACTGATAACAATACGTTAATTGTAGACCTCAATACTCCACTCTCAGCAATGGACAGATCATCTAAGCAAAAACTCAACGGGGAAACAAAAGCTTTGAATGATACACTGGACCAGATGGACCTCAATGATATATACAGAACATTCCACCCTAAAACAACAGAATACTCATTCTTCTTGAGTGCACATGGAACTTTCTCCAGAATAGACCATATACTGGGTCACAAATCAGGTCTCAACCGATACCAAAAGACTGAGATTATTTCCTGCATATTCTCAGACCACAATGCTTTAAAACTGGAACTCAATCACAAGAAAAAATTTGGCAGAAATTCAAACACTTGGAAGCTAAAGACCACTCTGCTCAAGAATGTTTGGGTCAACCAGGAAATGGAAGAAGAACTTAAACAATTCATGGAAATCACTGAGAATGAAAACACATCAGTCCAAAACCTATGGGATACTGCAAAGGTGGTCCTAGGGGAAATACATAGCCATCCAAGCCTCACTCAAAAAAATAGAAAAATCCCGAATTCACCAACTAACTCTACACCTTAAAGAACTAGAGAAAAAGCAACAAATGATGCCTAAGCCATGCATTAGAAGAGAAATAATTAAGATTAGCAGAGATCAATGAATTAGAAACCAGAAACACAGTAGATCAGATCAACGAAACTAGAAGTTGGTTCTTTGAAAGAATAAGATCGATAAACCACTGGCCACACTTATCCAAAAGAAAAGAGAAAGGACCCAAATCAATAAAATTATGAATGAAAGGGGACAGATCACAACTAACATCAAGGAAATAGAAACAATTATTAGAAATTATTATCAACAACTATATGCCAATAAACTGAGCAATCTGGATAAAATGGATGCCTTCTTGGAAACCTATAAGCTGCCAAGACTGAAACAGGAAGAAATTGACAACCTGAATAGGCCAATAACCACTAACGAGATTGAAGCAGTGATCAAAAACCTCCCAAAAAACGAGTCCAGGGCCTGATGGATTCCCTGGGGAATTCTACCAAACATTCAAAGAAATAACACCTATTCTACTGAAGCTGTTTCAAAAAATAGAAACAGAAGGAAAACTTCCAAACTCATTCTATGAGGCCAGCATTACCTTAATCCCCAAACCAGGCAAAGACCCCATCAAAAAGGAGAATTTCAGACCGATAACCGTGATGAATATACATTCCAAAATCCTCAACAAAATCCTAGCCAATAGGATCCAACAATACATTAAAAGGATCATCCACCACGACCAAGTGGGATTAATCCCCGGGATGCAAGGGTGGTTCAACATTCGCAAATCAATCAGTGTGATAGATCACATTAATAAGAGTAGGGAGAAGAACCATATGGTCCTCTCAATTGATGCAGAAAAAGCATCTGACAAAATACAACATCCTTTCCTGATTAAAACTCTTCAGAGTATAGGGATAGAGGGAACATTCCTCAAGTTCATAAAATCCATCTATGAAAAACCCACAGCGAATATCATCCTCAATGGGGAAAAGCTGAGAGCCTTTCCCTTAAGATCAGGAACATGTCAAGGATGCCCACTCTCGCCACTATTCAACATAGTACTAGAAGTCCTAGCAACAGCAATCAGACAACAAAAAGAAATAAAAGATATTCAAATTGGCAAAGAAGAGGTCAAACTCTCTCTTTTCACAGACAACATGATACTTTATGTGGAAAACCCAAAAGACTCCACCCCCAAATTACTAGAACTCATACAGCAATTCAGTAATGTGGCAGGATACAAAATCAATGCACAGAAATCAGTTGCTTTCTTATACACTAACAACGCAACTGTAGAAAGAGAAATTAGAGAAACAATTCCATTTACAATAGCACCAAAAACCATTAGATACCTCGAAATAAACCTAACCAAAGAGGTAAAGGATCTATACTCTAGGAACTACAAAACACTCATGAAAGAAATTGAAGAAGACACAAAAAGATGGAAAAATATTCCATGCTCATGGATCGGAAGAATAAACATTGTTAAAATGTCTATGCTACCCAGAGCAATCTATACCTTCAATGCCATCCCGATCAAAATTCCAATGACATTTTTCAAAGTGCTGGAACAAACAATCCTAAAATTTGTATGGAATCAGAAAAGACCCCGAATCGCCAAGGAGATGTTGAAAAAGAAAAACAAAACTGGGGG